TGTAGTTTGTTGCACAAAATCACATTCATTTGACACGAAAATGCTTGGTTTCCGTATGACGAGCGCCAGACGCCATGGACCAGTTTCAGCACTAGAAGTTTTGAAGACAAGCATTGTCAGCATGTGATATTCGTATTTAGATGAAACTCGAGATAGTTGTACACTAGAGTTCTTGCTAATTTGGCCGAGAGTCGGAATCTCCCCAAAAGTATCTATCCATGGATTTGAAAGAAAATCAGCATTGAAGGGGAAATAGTGCTGAAATTCCTCTCAAAAAGTTGGTATTAGATAGTTTTCTTTTTTTACAGTTGTTAATGGGCGGGCGTAAGTACGAGATCTCGCCTGAAGATCACATTTTCGCGGCTGTGCAGATCTTCCTCGACATCGTTTATATCTTCTGGATGTTGCTCTCATTGTTTGGATCCAGCAAGTAAGTGTGTCGTTTGAGTTAGCCACCTTTTTAATTAGGCGCTAGTAAGTAAGATAGTCCTAGATTCGTTGCGAATCGCTTGCTTTTGCTTTGATATAATCAAGCTAAGCCTCACAAGTCTGTGTTTAACATCATACTGTTTGTCCGATTGCATGTGTTCCGGGTGGAGTACAGAACTTTTGATGAAAGATTGTCTAGAAAGGTCATTTGGTGTGCTGAACATTCGAATGACATTCGCTTTGTAATCGGTATTTCTGACGTCATGAAATCGCAAGTAACACTTTGTTCTCTTGCACTAAAGTTCTACCAACTGTGCCGTCTCGAACTGGGCTTGTTTAACTTCCCGATTACCAGTAAAAGGCATTCATTTATGGCGCAAACGAAATTGTACGTCGTTTCGGCACCGCCACTTATCCACCGAAGTCAACGTTTGGCATCAATCATGAGTATGAAACTCGTTTCTGGAGATACTTGTACACTCACCTTCGCGTTGTGGTCTTTGCCAGAGACAGATGGGTCCGCCAGTGCACGCAGGCACGTAACACGACGTAGCATCTATACGCCTAGCCAAGCCAGTCGCCCTTCATGTCTGTGCTTCTCTCGTTTGCTAAGGGAATTACTTTCTCTACCATTGGCCGTGATAATCAGCCTGCCGATCAAGTTGTTCGCTTCGGACATTGGCACCGACGCATATTGCACGTTGTGGATGTCGCCATCGAAACGACAAAGTCATGAAACAGGACAAATCCTTTATAGTTCTCTCATTTATAGTGATTTTAAGACTTACCAATGCTCTAATGAGTGCGACTTACGGCAAAAACCCAACGTGGTTGGATAACCTGACCGGGAGACTTGCACAACGGGACTTCATTTGAATCAACCCAACCCGAAACAAGGCTGGACCGTAGTGGAAGGTAGATGTCGTTGAATGAAGACCCAGACGACATCCACCTTGAACTACGCTCCAGCCTCACTTCCGCGTCCCTTCAAATGACGAAAGTGGCATACTTCGATAGTTGAAGACGGGCTTGCTCCCCTCTCACAGGTCCTCGGACTGCCTGTATTCAATACTACTTCAGTCGTGTCAAGTTTCTGATTTTCTCTGCTTTCTCGTCTGCCTGGCTTTCTGTGACCGGTCCAACTCTTCACGCATGATAAGTGACCACTCCCCTACCCCCCCCCCCCCTTGAAAAAGCCGTTCTCTTGGTTGGCCATATGTTTTTTGCCAATTTCGATGCTTGGGGTTGCTGTCCACGGTATGCCTGCAAGGACCGGTGCGAAAGTTGAAGTACTCCAGTACCCCTCCCACCCGGTACGTAGGCGAGCTTACAGCTTGTCTTCAATACTAAAACTGATTTCGCGTTCAGGAACCTCGATTACCCTAAAAGTTCACACGAAATTCGGGGTGAATTATTTGGTGAAGCCTGGCGGATTATAGCGCTGGCGCTAGAATGATTGATATATTTGTGAATGGCATTTCAGTCAGTACACTAAAACGTCGCTTTACACCGATTTCAGCAGGAATGCAGATAGCACCGAACTGGTGCCAGTTGGCGCCGGCGTCGAAAACGATTTTTACATTCGTGATCAGGACACCGAATAACTCTGCATGGCAGCGTAAAGTGGATCGTTTTGTGCGCTCTGTTAATGTTTAGCATGCGAAGTCTGTTGAGTACCAGGAGGGTACACAGAAGACATGCATGACTGCGCATGTGTGACACGGTCTGGTTTGTGTTAAACTGCTTGTCTGGGGGGGGGGACCAAGACACCCTCATCCTTATGATGTGATCCTCAGCGTGCTCGCCTATACTGCGTCAAGAACTCACGCTCTTGGATAAGCCGTTCTTCGTAGGCTTAGATGATGCTGAACTGATGAAGAGGGGCACTAAGAATAAGTTTTCTGGAGACTGTGGGCGTTTACAAGGTTCTTAGCGTGCTTTTTGCTTATATGGACATGGTTTCATAGTTTTGATTGTGCAGTCTATATCGGAGGGCAAAGAGGGGCGTCTCGCCGGCTATATATTCCCGTGCTGACTCACATCATCTTATGCCTACGTTTGTGTCTCCCTTGT